TTAGTTGTTTGGGAACATACACTGTTTCTAAATGTACTATAGCCCTCTTCTAATCTAGCAGGAAAAAAGTGATCTGAAAGAAATTAAGGAGGAATTAATTCAGGATTATTATATTTGATATACAATGTAACTGCAAAAGCTTTGATACTTAAAATATTTCATCAGTTTCAATGGAAATTTTCAAAATGCAAGGTAGTGTTTCCTAGAAAGTAAAGAAAAAAATGACCATCTGCCACATCTTTTATTACAATTTATTTACACACTTTGGTTAGATAACAGGCCAGGATTTAGTTGTTTTTTTTTACTTTCTGTATAAAGTATCTCTTAACTGACAATCTTATTTTTGCTGAAGTAAAGCCTTTCTTTCAAAAGTTAATGGAGTTAGTAATCATTTCAAATAATTTCCACATTAATCAAAACCCCCCAACAACTTTGGGCATAAGAACTATAGAAGAAATATGGTAAACAATAAACACCCCTAATATTTCAATTTTATACAACATAAATAGTGTAGCATTTTGAAGGTAGGTTCTAAACAATAAAACTGAAGGGCTCTCAGTATAACATTTGAATACTGCAATGCTAGGCACATTTACTTGTAAGGATATTCGATCTTATTCATTGGAACTTACTTCTGGGTAAAGAATAGGATTGGCTTGAAGATTGACAGAAGATTGTGTAACAGTCCAAAATCTAGATCTAGATTAAACAAGCATAGTTGCTCCTTAAACTACAGTAGATGCCCAAAACAAGGCTACTGCTTTATAAACATTACCATGATGTAACAATAACTGTAAAATGTATATATGCAAATATGCATTTGTGTGATTATGAGGAACCCCTTTTCAAGTAATTCAGCAAATCCTAAATGATAATTTTTCTGCACATACTTTGTGAAACTACTATGACTTCTTTAAATGTAGGGCTATTAAATATAGGTGTACTTTATTTTAGGACATTCATTTTTAAATACTGAATTTAATTCAGATTTAAGATATCCCTGCTCACCTCCATATTCCTTTTTTTCCCCCCTATAAAAAAGAGCCAGTCTAAGCAGAATTTCAATAAAAACAAAGCAAAAAATTAAAATATAAAACATGCTTTGTAGTTTCAGGTGTTTCAAATATACCTATTAAAACAGAAATTCTGTGTTCTCTTTTAATGTAAATATATTTTAAAAACTTGAATTTAAAGCTTGTTATGTGGCAGCGTCTGGTAGCCAAATTGTGATGATTGTAAAAATCTTGGTGGCCATCTTGGGAAAAGTGGCTGTGATACAAATGAGAGGACTGAAGTAGCAGATGGTGGAAGGGAATAATTAAATAAATAAAATAAAATAAAATAAATAAAATTATTTTCTGCATGCACAAAACAAGGCAACAGAAGAAATCATAATCCCCTGAATAAAAAAAAATCTCTCCCACTGCCAGATAGCTTTAAATAGAAAGAAAAGCATCACAAGCAAAATAAAAATAGGTTCATATATTGACAAAGCTTTGCCTTTGCTTGAAATTCTTTTTAATCTAAAGGGTTTTAAACCAAATCAATTCTTCTTCGATATGTAATATTTTATGTTTAATTTATAAATTATACTCTTTGCCATTCTAACATGGATCACAATCTCCTTCTTTGAAAAGGACTAGTATAAGATATAAACATTTTCTACTAGATTACAACAGTTACCTAGCTTCATATGATGCCTGCCATGCATGTGAAGTCTCAATTAAGCATATTTTGATCATAATTAATTCCAATGAAGACAGTGAACATGTTTTGTTCTAAGATATCCTACCCAACTCAGTATAGGTGGCATTTTTTATAAATTAACATAAAAGTTTAGTAGGAAAAAACAATAAACAATTTTGAAAACATCCCAATATTAAAGGCCATCTAACCTGGCCATTATATAGAAATAATTGTATTATAATTAAAAGAGAGTCAGATATTGCTATTTTAGATCACCGTGGGCAACTCTGAACTAAAGGAAGCTGTCTTAGTTCATGGCTTAAATTATATTAATATCCCCCGTATATATTTTTGAAAGCATCATGGTCAAAAGACAGACTGTAAGTATATTAATAAATAAGTATTCAGGAAGTACAAAGCAAGCTAGGGAGACTGGTATATAACAACTGATTAGCCAGGATGTGCTTCATTATTACCAGCTACAGCTCGAAGCACTAGAACATTCCATTAGGAAGGCATATACGGTGTGCTGTTTATGGTGAGTCCCAAAGCATAATATGTACATACATGTTTTTAATTTCTATCTTTTGTCAGCAGCCTCCCATGATTCCTCGATAGCATCCTTCTCCACTCTCGCTGGAAGCCTTAAGGGCAATGCTCCATAAGGAGCAGCCAGTGGAAGGGAAAATCAGCCACCACCTTGCTGTTGCATATCAACACTTCTGAATCCCAACCAACATGTCTTTCTAAAATGTACTCAAGGCCAACAGCTCTCTGCACTGATAAAACCACAGGGACTGATCTTACATCAACATAAAATCCATCTAAAATAAGAACCATCACATCTTTTTCTTAATGTTACTATGATATATATAAAGTCAAAAAGACCAAGCAAAGTAAGGATCTTCTAAGCCAGATGAAATGGATTGAGGCCTTACCTACCTAATGGAAAAGGCAGTGTGGATAGATTTGCAACTCACATATAAAACTGTGTTAATATGGACTGCAATGGTGCATACTTTATGAGCCATGGAAAATATTGAAAATAGCATGTAGCTACTTATGAAATGTTCTGAACTAAGTATCAAGTTTAATATGTATAATATAAAAGGGAATGTGATTTATGGCATGACTTTTCATTAAACACTATACATTCATTTACAGTAGAACACTAGACATCAAATTTAAACTAGAATGTATAACTCGTCCAGTGACAAACATAAAGACTCCTCTCCTCAGTTACAAATAGTTTTGATTTTGTGAAATCTTTGTGATAGTATACTTGGTAGTTTGGTAATCAGTAATATTTTTTATAGAAAACGCAACTGCAATAAATTCTTACATATTCTATTGCATTTTGTATGTAAAATCTATTGTAAGTCTTTTTCTTAAATGTGAATTTGTTGATTTTAACATTCAATGGCTTCTGTATACAACCCAGACAAAAACAGAAATGTGATTTGCAAATTTGCAAGAGACCAATTTAATATCATTTCTTAATCTCCCTTGCCCTTCCAAATCTCTTATTTCACTTTTCATTCTGGAAGCATGCTGAAAATGGCACCAGGTCTTTTAGAATGCCAAAAATGTCAAGAAACAGGTAAAGTCAATCCATTACTATCAGCTATTTTATTCAGCCATTGTTATTTGCAATATGATTTTGAGTGCAGTAGCCACAGTGAGTCAATAGATGGCACCCCTTCTCTTAGTAAGAGAGCAAACTGAATGAAATTCACTAAGTCTCAGAAGTAACAAATATGTTCTATTGATCTGAAGCATTCGTAGCAATTAATTAGAGACATTTTGCTTATGCATGAGAAATTAACCACACATTTTATATAACCCTTTGATGAACATGCATAATAAGTAGGATTAAAAGATTATCTACATGGTATATATTTGTATGTTACACAAAATTTGTACTCCTTATGCAGATTTCCTGTATACTTCATATTCTGGTTTATTGCAAAATATTACAATCAGATTCAACTGTACTTGAAAAGACAAAGGTGGAATATATTGTTTTAGCAGTAGCATATAAACTCAAATATGAATTAGTATTATTTCATAATTTTGAGTACGAATGTGAATATGCCCATGATACATCAACATAACCAGCTTCACAATTTGTATTTTGTATTTTTCTTTATATGATGTTCTTTAAAAAACAATTTAGATAGGGCCTTTATTTTTAATGTATGTGTAATATATCAAAGAAATAGAGGCATCAATATTGGAACCAACACAAAAAACATGAAGTCCTGTGTAGCAGAATCACACAAGCAGATTCTATGCTTTCATCTCAGAATCTACAAGACAATATAAGCATTAAATGAAAGCTTACAGAATTCATCTAAAATTAGTTAAGAGACAATTTTTTAAAAACTTTTTTTTAGAACTGACATTTCTTGCAGCCTTAAAATTAAACTGCCCAAATAATAATCCAAGTAGTTTCTCCATATTAAATCCCTGTTTGAAGAGAGAAGCCGTATCATAATATCCTGAAAACCTCACCCATACCATATAATGATGCCTATTTGGCCCATCTCTGATTCTGCAAAGAAATGCAAAACCAAGGAAATTTCAGAAATGTGTTATTGTAAAAAGTACATGGGATTAAAAAGAAAGTGGTCATACTGTGAGCATGGAGAAAAATGGGACAATGGTACCACTCAAAATTGCTGTTATGTTCATATTTTATCATCCATCTATCAACTATATTTTCTTCTGAATAAGAAAAAAGCAGTCCACGAAGAAATAAGTTCAGTTCTTGAGCCAGTTAAGCTCTTTATGATTTGCCAACAACCATTCCAATTTCCCATGAGAAATTCAGATATAGTTAGGTAAATTATGAAGCCAAACAGAACTTTGCATAAAGTTTACAACCAATATATTCAATACTATTAATAGCCAGTTAAAGTGAAAGTTTTGTGTTGTATTTTGACTGTGCTTTATCAACTTCCTCATAAACAGATATTCAAAACTCTTTTATTTCTAATTTTGGTATCTCATCAAAGCAATTAATCGTAAGAACAGTGAAAATATAACATAGTTCTTGTAGTATCCATGACATATCTACTGATATTGTTGGTGTTTATAGGAAACGTTTTGTTCTTGCTACGTACCACTGAGGAAGCTATAGGCAGCAAGCTGGCATGGTACCACCACAAATAATTTCTATTACATGAACTGTTTAGAAGAACCCAGAAGAAAAAAACAGCATAGGATATTCTTGCATTCTTCAATTCTAACTCTCCCCAGATATTTATTAACTTTCTTCAAAAGATCCTTGTCTATATTTTATGGTCAGCAGTTCACAGAAGAGTAAATAGGCCTGGTGTAGAACAAAATAAAAAGGTGTTTCTACTTACTGTTAGATGATACTGCCTCCATATTTCTGGGCAAGCCTGGAAAATAAAAATATTGATCAGCTGGGAGCATGAAACAAGGTGCTTTACAGCCTGTTGATTTTGGCATAACACAGTAACCACTGGTGTCGGTCACAGGAAAATAAGAAGCTTAACTGAGAGGGTCTGCATTTCAGCTTCAAAAACCTGGCTAGACAGTTTAATTGAATTTTACACTGGTTTAACACACTCCCTGCCATTGTCAGAAAGCCAGCAACAGTTTCTCCCCCTTTCTTTTGCTAAAGTTTAGAACTTTTGAAGACAAGTTTACAATGCTTCTAAAATGTAAATAAATTCCAGAGCTGTTCAACTTTTAAGCTGGTGGGATACACCATTTAGAGATTAATTTATATCATATTTTCATTTAATCATTATTCTATTTTTGAGTGCATTTTTAATTTAATCAAAATAGAATTCTTGTATGTAGTTACGCTTTTCTGCTTGTAGTTTTACAATTTCTGCATTATTCCACTTTGTTCTACCCCACAGAATTGCATAGCAAAATAAGGCACATTTGAATGCACAAAATAAGACTCTCTGGAGTACAACTGTAAGAAAATACACAACATGCTATTTAACACTATTTCATTCTCACTATAATTTTCACATTAGAAACAGAATATGGAATTTTCAAATAAAATCAGTCTTGCTCTTTCAAATAGTATAAAATAACTGTTTTGACGTTGCTATGACAATTCTTTAATTTTCCAGTATCTGCAATGGGAGTAATTTGCCAACTTTCTGAACAACCTCAACTAGGTTTATAATAATACATATAATAAAAATCATTCTAAAACAATCATACTATTTTATTCTAATAATTGTAATTCAAGGTAAACTAAGAGGTGTTTACAAACCAATATATATGCTTTAAAAAAGAAAAAAGATATGCTGGTGTACTTTCTCATCCAAATGCAAATCTTTGGGGTTTTTTTTTAGACTTTACATCATTAGAAGAGGATCTGTAAGCCACCCTGAATATCCATCTGGACATGAAGGGAAGAGGTGTTAACTATTTTATATATGCACACACATATGGACGCTTTTATACACGCACAGACACACAAACATACTCACTTTGTGATAAAGAAGATATTTCTCTTATTAAACAATAAAAATGTCTGAAACAAAAAATAAACAGATCTACCTTTTTCCTCAATTGGTCATGAATTCAGTACTAAAGTATCAGTCCCTATTTCATCCTACATTAGTATTCTATTACCTTCAAGCTTTAAATACATTTTGCTGTTGGCAACATTTTTGCTGGCTTACCATAGTGATAAACAAGCAGTTATTTATCCATTAGTTCTGGATAAGTCCTGATCACCCCATTGTTCTCAATAATAATTTGGCTGAAAAATTATTGGCAATGAATTGCTTGATGCAAAATATGTGACTTTTACTTACACAGCAATCTAATAATAATAAAAATGTTTGCTCTAGTAAATATATCACTTCCAACATTGTCAATCATTAATACTGTACAACATTGTTGTGTTGAAATAAACTTGGGACTTTTAAAAAAAAATATAAAACGTTTATTAGGAAAGGGCTGAATTTCATACAATTATATTTGTTCATTCATTTTTAGCCTATGGGGGGAAAAATTAAATTAAATTAAAATTAAATCCACACAATTAGCAAAATTACCCAGATCTAAATGTCACTCAGTATGTTCCACTATTTTTGTTGCAAGTAAGGGCACATTAAGATTTAACATGGCACTTTAATGTTACATGTTAAATACAATGTGACTGAACTCTAATCAAATACATTTAGGACTGAATATATGCAAAATATCCTGAGAGATGTTTGAAAGGACGTTCTTTCAAAATGACGCATAAAAATCTGAGGCCAGTTCATTCTTTGCATTAGGTTCAAAGCTACAGTTTGCATTGTTTCCTTAACATTGAAATAATAAATAATTGCTAAAGATTACAGATTGCTTAATGAAGTAGAACTGCTCGTTATGGAAGAGAGTATTTCTAAATTTGGTAACACCTGAGTATCTGATTTCAGGTTTAAATATAAACCGTTCTCATATTAGGTGAAAAGCTGCCATGGAATTTGTCTACATTAGAGTATTCCATTCATTTCCTGGCCCAGAGGTACAACTGAACTAACCTCTAGTTCTATGTACATGAAATGCCTATTCTTCACAACAAACGTGCTTCTAGATCTCTCTAAAATGGTGAGCAATTTGCTTAAGATTTGCACAACTGGAAATTCCAAATATTTATCCTATCAGTAACTTGGACTGATGAGTATTCATAAAAATAAAGCACAGATCAACCCACTCTGTCACACAAGATGAATCAAGAGTTTATATTGTTCCATTTGACCCATATTGAATTTTATCATGTGCTAATTATTGTTTTATGAGAACAACGGCTTAGTGCATCTGTTGTTTAATTCCCACTTCCCTATTCTCAAATGTGAACATCAAAGAAAATAAAACACTCAATCTTAAACAGCCCCTGACAGCAGACCAAGACTCAAGTGCTCAATAGACAAGGCCCTTGCCACCAGTTCTCATATTTCCACAACAATGAACAAACACAAAAACAGCACTAAGCGGCCTTTCCTCCTTTTCAGCTCCCCTTGGCCAGTTGTCTGCCTTGTACCAGAGAGAACCCTTGAACACAACCCTGCTGGGAACACAACACAGGAGAAAGGATTAGCCTTACTAACATGCTAGCATTTGCAAAAGTGAAGGGGAAAAAAAAAACATCCCTCAACCAAGACTATATTTGGTATATGAATAACCAAAATGTATGAGCTGACAAGAGACTGGGACAGGCCTACGACTCCCCGGGAGAAAATGTAGCTGTGATGAGTGACAGGGCTTTCAGGAAATATGTTCACAATCACAGACAGTGAAGGCCATGACCTAGATCGTTTAAGAGCTTGTCTTGTCAAATTATCAAAAGCTTCTTCCTCTCTGAATAAAGAGTGACATAAGTGAGTGTCAGAAAGCTGCAGGCTGACAAGCCAAGCATACAATAACAGAATGCACGTCACATACTTGCCGAACACCGCCACTGCTAGCGGCAAATCTTAATGAGAGTGCGGCTGGCCCAGGAGACTTGGGTCCCTGCTGGCACAGCTACTCATCTCACAAAAATCCTTCAGCTCCAAGTCAGTTATGGCCTGACACAATGACTACAATTACTAAACACAACTTTTTAACAGAATTCTCTTGTGCTTTGTCAACGCTGCAGTTAGGAGCTGCCCCATTGCAAGCCACTGCAGCAAACAAAAGATTTACTAATACAAGTCATATTAATTACCTTTGCATGACAGTTAACAGGAAGGGAGCAGATTAAGCTCATCAATAAAACATTTGAGGACATTCTATCAACAGCTTGCCCCAGATAACCCTTCCTCAACTTATATGCACTGAAAGAATTAGAGAGTGCTAAAAGCACCCTTTAAAAATAGGACTGATTATAAACTTTTAGCTACTGAGGAAATTCCAAAGAGTATACATTTCCTTTCCCTTTGAACGGTGGGTATAGCACATCAGGCCATTACAGGGAATGGCAAGTACTCTCCAGACATTTCCCCTCCTCTTGGTCAAGTTTGTGTTAATCTTGGAGCAGGTGGAAGGAGGAAAGAGGACTGGATGGTCATTTGGGAACACATTCCTCTAAATACTTACTATAACATGCTAAGTGTTCACGTGCCATAACTAAGAGAGAGGGAAAGAAACGGGTGCCTGCTCTCTTATGCATTATGGCAACATCTCCGGATACAGGGAGTATACCTGTCATAGCTCTCCCGTCTAGAAATACATTTCCACTGAAAATCCGTTTTGTTCAGTCCACATGTATGAAACTATTAGGAAACTGTAAGTATAAACTGCAAACACAGCCCTCAAGAGACTGATTCAGCACTGCAGCTCAGATATGATCTGTAGCTACATGGGAGACCACTGGAAAGCCCATCTATACTAACTGAGGGAAGAAGGCAACTAAATGAGTTCTGATCGCCCATAACAGAAATTTCTATTTGCCTACATCAACTTCAGTTCCACTAAAATTTGCATATTAGATTACAGCAAGGGTCTCCAATCTTTTTGGGCTGGTAAGCACATCTGGATTGTTCAAAACATGTTGTGGGTGCTCTTATAAAATGGATACTGGAGGGGCTTGTCCATTCAGAAAATGGCTGATTGCAGTGCTATAACTACTTATCAGATTTATCAGAATGCTTACTTTTCCTCCCCACTCCCTCTGCTTACATTTGTCTCTTCTCTAGGCAGGTGGACATACCTGCCAATCATTTTGATTTTCTCAAAAGTTTATGGGGCCTATTTGGGATGCAGAGGATTTCTTGGAAATAAGGAGAGTCTAGCACTTTGCTCTGCAGCTTCTCATAAAGAAAGAACTAAAGTCAACTGGGGAGAGAAGTCAAGGGAATAAAGGATTATACTGACACATTGGGAAGGGTGCTTCAGCCACCATGTTGGGGACACCTGAATTATACTGATGCTCACATTATGCAAAAATCAAATGCAGTGCTTAAGAACTGATTATAAAGCGACCAGGCCAGATTCTCACAGAAGGTTACCCAGCCAAATAATATGAATCAGATATTCACAGTTGAAAATATCTAAGTAGAAGATCCAAAGAACCATAAGGTGAAGTAAAAAGCATATTTGTACTGTTATGTTAACTGTGTTCAAGTAACACTTCTCTCAATGTAATCCTGCAAAATAATGGAGCTTGTATTAGAATATGAGTCCAGACAAAGCCTAGGAAACTAATAAGCTCTTGTGAAAGAGCATGTGAAGAATTCTGAAAAGGATGTTGCATTCATGGAAGAACCTTTCTATTTTTAGGCTCACTTTTCCCAACTTGCACTCTTCAACTAAGCAGAACAGTTCTTTTGTGAGTAAAAGAGCACTTCTGGATCTAAGCCACACAGTGCAAATAATATTACAATATTTTTAGCAAGAACATCTTAAAATAGCAGATAAATCTGAATGATTGGAATGCTGAATTAGACTTAAAATTATCTGATTTTTAGGAAATTGTTATATACATTCAATTAAATCTGAGATTTCATTATGTTTGTTCTATTTTCAGACAATCAAATAGTATTTTATCAACAATTAACAGTGCATTAAAAACTATGAAATGCTGTGAGACTATTTTTGCAAATGTTACTGAAATAGATTTTGTTCTCTAATAAATATGATTATAAATATTAAGAAGGAAATATACACTGTCTAGCAAACACGCACTTTCAAAAAAATTTATATATATTACTCTCTGCAAAGCAATGGAAATTCTATCTTATGCATTTCATATTTTTTTCCATTTTTCATCCTGTTATATTCTTACATTCTTGCATGCTTTCAAATACATACATCAAGATGTTGTTTTAGAAACATATTTGGGGAGGAATTGGAAATGGTTTCTGAATGAATTTTGCATGCATAGTTTTAAATAATTCTTCAGAAAGGATGCTGAGTTTGATTAGGAGGATTAGGCTTTAAACTGAATGATGAGGAAATCTGTGGCAAAAGTCCAGATATAAAGACACAATTTATATACTGTTGGAAAAAACTAGTGAAACTTAATTAAAAAAACAAGGAAGAAACTGGCAAATTCCTATTCAAAATATAGGAATAAGCACTGTAAACTTGAACTCTTAATGTAAGAGGATAAATGTGATCTGATGATTATAAGACATTGCGAGATGATTCCTATAATTGGTTTGTTATGGCCTAAATGCTATACAAATAAAATTTGAATTTTGGACTTGGACTCCCATAATTGGCATATATTAATTGAAGGATGCAACTTGTTCAGAATAAACAGAACGGGGGAGGGGGAAGGCAAAGGATGAACTACAGTGTTCACTTAAATTACCTACAACTGTTTAGAAAAGTAAGAAAATTAATTTGAGAAAACCATTGATAAATCCAAGTTAAAATAAATGGAGGAAGGGGCAAAAATAATGGTTGATGTTTATTACCATCAGGCAACCAAGGAGGTGTGGATTGTGTTTTTAAAAAGGAAACTGCAGATCTTCTAGAGAGGTGTGAAGGGATTTTTAATTGCACTGACATCTGTTAGAAAGCAATCTCTGCCAAGCCTGGTCTCACTAGGAAATTTTGACTTGCCTGGCTAACAGCTTTCTCCATCAGTGGTTGAAAGAAGGCACAAGGGGATCAACTCTCCTTGACGGGATTCTAACCAATGAAAAACACTTTTGTTAATGACATGGAAATAATGACCAGGCAACGCTGGAGTTCTTGATTTTAGGGAAAACTATATCTGCATATAAGTAAATACATAACTTGAATTTCAAGAAAGTAGATTTTAATACAGCAGTAATACCTAGAATTCAGTGACATGAAACTCTAGTTAGAAAAGATATTCAACCTGGACAGAAATTTTGAAAAAAAGAAGGCACTGAAAGGAAAAAAAAAATCAAAATTCCATAAGATGTGAAAGAAAACAAAATTACAGTATTTGAGTTTGGAAAAAAATGCTGATAATAAAAAGGATTTAAAGTGGTTCAGTATGAAAGGAAAAAAACAAACAATAAACCTGAAAGCAAACTGAAGAGGCAGGATTGAGAATGAAGTTGATAGAGAGAATATCTACATATGCTGAATGAGTTCAGATCTCATTTACTCAAAGAGTCAGATGAATTAGATATTAGAAAGAAAGAACTTGCTGAATGTCTATTGTTTTTGAGAAATCCTGAAGAACTGGATGACTGGAGGGTAGATGATTATTAGAAGTCAGGCACAAGTCCTATCAGACTAACTGCAGCTTATTTATTGATAAGGTAATTTTCTTGATAAAGTATGGGATTTCTTCACGCATAATTTATTTTGATCTCAAAAAAGCATTCTGATTAGCCAGCTAATTGTTTTATTTAATTTTATTGGATTTATAGGCCACCCAACTCCCAGATGACTCTGAGCAGCTTACATTTTAAAACTAGAAAGCAATAAAATGAAAAAGAAAAAAAACCATGTACGTCTGAGAAACAAATCTCACACACCAGAAAAAGAAAACCAACAGGGTTTGACACCCACCTTAACCTCAGGCCTGGGAGCAAGGCAGGTTTTCAAGAACTTTTGGGAAAACTGCAGAGTGGTAGCAATATGAATCTTGGAGGGGATGTTATTTCAGAGGGCAGATGCTGTGACCATAGATGACATTGGTAATGGAAGGGACTTGCAAAGTGCCCACTCTGCCTGATCTTTCTGGGTGGGCAGCAACTATTGGAGGTATTTCATTGGAGTTATTTCTTTGGAACTACTGGAAATATTCATAATTAGTTATGGGTTGAATGGCCAACTACAAAATGGATCCCCAACTGGTATGAAATTTGAACTGAAAGAGTAAATTATCAGTGGTTAGTCAAGAAACTGAGAAAGCCTAGGAGAGATGAATAGCATGCTCTCCTAGGCTCAGTACTCTGTAATATTTTTATTAGTATCTTGAATGACAGGAGGAAATGCTTATTAAATATGCAGCTGACATAAAAGTGGGTAGGATAGCTAATACCTAGAAAGAATACAGAAAACAATTCAAAATAATATCTCTTGGTTAGAGAAATGGACAAAAACAACTGAGTAAAATTTTAAAAAGAGAAACATCAAGTTGTTCTTCCCTTAGGGAAAAAAGAGGTCAAACGCACATGAAAAGTAAGGTGGATACTTGATTTGGCAAACATATAGGTGTAAATAATCTTGAAACTGGAATCGTGAATGGAGTCAGGAGTGTGATATGAATGCAAAAAAGCAAATAAATCTAATCAATAAAATACAGATTTTAAATCCCAAGAATTGAATGTCCCCTTCATTTCTGTGGTGCTCAGAATCCACATGAAGTGTAATGCTCAATTTTGGCTCTTTACTTTAAGAAATCAGACAAACTGGAATAGATTCAGAAAAAGACAACAAAGTTGATCAAGGGTTTGGAAAGCAAGTTCTGATTAAAAGAAAATCAAGCAAACTGGGTAAGTTTACCTTCAAGGAGAAAAGATTGGGGAAATACATGATGAAATTCAACAACAGCTGAAGGGCCTTGTTCTCTGGTGCCCCAGAACAAAGGACATGAAATGTGTGTCATGTTGGCTGGACTTGATGGGAGCTGTAGTTAATAAGCAAGATTACAGAATAAGACCATATATAGGAACTACAGTATAATACATAAGCGCACAAGATAAAGGAAAGCCGCACAAGGATGCCTAAGTGATATAATGAAAATGAGAAAAGATCAGAGAAGGCTTTGTTTTTAATGAAAAGGGCAGATGGAAAACAGCATTTGAAAATTATATTCTGACTTCTGTTCAACCATCAGCTCTGAGTGCCTATCTTCACAAGAACTTACACGGTATATACTATCTATATTAGGAAATCTTTGCAATATATCATCTCTTCCCAAGTATTACATAGTTAGAAAAAGGTCAATTTCATTTGTTTGTAAAAACTAATGTTCACACATTCCCTTTATCCAACCTATACCTGACATACTTTAACTTTTCATACTTCATCAAAGGAACTGAAAAAGAAATTAACTGGAACACTATACTCTTTCTATTTTAAAGGAAATATTTCAGAACTTCCAACTATAAAGATAGGCTTGAAAATGTATACAGCATGGCTACATAAATTTCCAGAGATAATGTTTGGACATCAGTATCATGAACAGCAGCTGTTCTCAGTTATAATTATCAGAAAAAAACTACAAACTAAAAATATGAATATACACACACACGTACAGACACACACACATACACACAAATACTTAATGTGCCTAATCAGCTTTTCTTAGCACATGGTTTTTTTAGAAGAGAATACGCAAGCTGTTTATCTGGCAAATCTGTGCTACAAAGGTCTGGCTGCTTAATATCACATGGCAACCAACTTTTGCTATGAATTTTGATGAGATATGTAAATAAATGGCATCTATTAACTTCCTCAGCATTATTTGTTTCTGGTCAGAGATTTGTTGGAATAATGTAATTATACGCCATACAAAACTAAATAATTTGGACTTTAAGAAAAAAATGAATAATTAGATTATTTTGTTATTAGGATTATTATTATTGCAGTCTGAATGTTTTAAATCATATATACTCTTAATAATCCTTAAAACAACTGTTTAAGGAATGCTAGTATTATTCCCATTGGGAAGGATGAGATGGCAGGTGTGCCATTTGTTATGTTCACATAGTGCAATTCAGTCTTAGGTTCTATACTAAACCTGTAATCAAAATAGTGAGGTAGTTTCATTTTTTTACAATTTAATGCATTTATTGTGGTTTTTTGGCAAGTTTTTCTATAGTTGTTCAGACACAAGAAAGGCAAACTGCATTTGTAACATATTCATAAAGGATAAGCATGTCTTTGTAAATTTTATATAGTTTGAAATCATTTTTGTTAATAACAAAAATAAAATACCACTTCAAGACATCACTAAATATTTAATGAATTACAAAGTACGCTAACTCATAGAAATTAATGCATTTCAGAAATAAAAACTTGTATAAACAAGAATTTAGCATGCAAGCACCTATCAGTAATGCTTTTGTATTTCTATTTTTGCATTCAATTTTTCTTATTTTATTAGTAATTACACATATTTATGATACAGAAAATACTGATTCTGCACATCTATCTGTGTCTTCAGACAAATACATGCTAAGAGACCAGCAATCTATAAACAGGAACACAGACAGTTATACCACCAAATGATTATAAACGTAAGTCATTCTGGAAAAAAAAGAAAGAAAGAAAGAAAAAAAAAGAATCACTGGGTAGTTTCTGTTAACAATGTACTCACATCTGCATAATGACCTCTCATATCACAGCGGTTACAGTGTTTTTTCCAGTACATTCTCTCAGGGCACTCTCTAGAGCAGTGTCCTGGCAAACAACAATTTAAACAAAATCGTGCTGGACAGCTGTTTTGTAGGTGACCTCTCTGTGCACAAAGACAACAGGGTGGAATTTTCTGCAAAAGAAATGCAAAGAAAACAAACCAAATGTTTATGGAATCAGAGGAATTTAAAGTAAGTAAAATAAACAAGGAGCTTCCACATATATTCATAGAGAACTGTAGAGTCCTTCGCCCAAGACCCACTTTCCTATTTCATAAGCTCATGCCCTTCATTTCTGCATTAGTCAACAAGGAAGCCCCCAATTAACAATTAAAATGTAAGATAAAATAAAACAAAAAAGCAATAAATGAATAGCAGAAAATGAACAATCAGTAGCTAAAGAACAAAATCACCTCCACTACTGTTGGACAAAGCTAAGGGCCCTTCCCAACATTTCACAAACACAGACCAATCTGCGTAACAGAAGGTGGTCATTTAGACCAGTGTTTCTCAAACCTGGCAACTTTAAGTGGCGTAGACTTCAACTCCCAGAATTCTCTAGCCAGCTGGGGAATTCTGGAAGTTGAAGTCCATGCATCTTAAAGTTGCCAAGGTTGAGAAATGCTAATTTAGACAACTCATTCCCATGTCATTTAAGACTTAGATAACAGTGCTATGGAAAGCATTTGAAAGAGGCAGCTTGCAGAGCACACTGCTGTGATCGAAGCATCTTTCTTCAAACCATTAAAGCAGCCACGTCCTTTGCAAGCCTTGCACGGGGCCTTTGAAAACTGGCCCCAGTCATCTACACGGGTGTATGCACATAGAGACAACACTTCCCCTGGAACTGCCAGGGAAGTGCAATGGCGGTACATGCTCACACATACAGAGATAGCAGGGGCAACTTTCAAAGTGGTGGCATGAGTCTTGCCAAGGGTTACAGTTCTTGTAATGCTTCCAAGAGAGATTTTTCATTTGTGCTAACCTGTTTTGCGAGGAACTTCCTTGGAAGGTTTTCCATGACAAGAACCCATGAAATTGTGTCTAATGGCAGTCAGGGAAGCTCCCAATAACCGACTATGCCAATGGATTGTCTATATCATTTTGGAATACTCTATATAGTCTGCCCTCCCCTCATTTTGCCACATTGTTTAATTCTTTTGTGGCAGTTCTTTAAATGTGTTATGATGGTAATTAATTATCATATTACTGTATTGTACTCATGGTGAACCTTTACACTTCTCTCTCTTTCAACTATCATCTTTCAGCCAATGAGAATGCATGTAATAAAATGTAAACATCTTACTTAAATCTATCCTGATGATATTTAAACACTGAATCCTTCACGATTAACCTCATAACCTGGTGAAAAATTACAAGCACTGGGTAACCGACCATTATGTACTCCGCATGAAGAGTCCCCCCATCAGTGTGCCGGACATCTTCCCCCTACCCTTATAGACACGCATATGGAAATGGAAAGTATGTGCAACTGTGTTTCATAATTTGCTTCTGCAGTGACGGCAGAATGGGGACTAATTATAGGAAGCATGCCTATATCTCACTTTCTTGCAAGCCCTATTGTTCTGTCCACTCATACACTAAGGTGGGAGGAAAGAGAAAAGAAATCTTCAGCAAGCATGTGGTAATCCTCAGCATGGGCCACTGGGTCTCTCTTGATTGGATTATATTGCTGAGAGCCACTGAAGAAAGCACCATCTTCAAATACCCCATCTCCTCTCTTACAAGTGAATCATGTTCCTAATACCTTCTGATTAATCTCTAGAATAGGACAGAATAGGATCGACAATACAAAGAAATTAGCAGCTAATGTTCCTTAGGTCTAAACTGCCTCTGCAGTTGAGAGTATGGCAATTCTTTATTTTTTTTTCCTTTCTCTAAACTGCCATCCTGCAAAATTATTACAGACCAGCATTTTAAAGCCTGAAAGTTGTCAACTAGCAATGAAACAAATTGAAATACTACATTTACCTTTGGGGCAGGACAATTTTTTGATAAATGACCTCGTTTATCACAATTTCTGCAAGTGACGTTTTTGTCTGCTGTATAGTATCTGTTGTTATGTCGCACTGAAACATAATTACCAATCTGTGCCTGAGGAAACAAAAGGATTATTATTAGAACTCTAAGCTTTTATAGCAATCAAACCTAGGCTATTGAATTTTTTAAAGAAAGTTATATATTTTTATAGTTCTTAAACATATACACACCCCTAGAATCAAGGTAGGCTTCCTATCTATAAATAAGTAAATATTTTTGCAGGACTCTACCATGTCCTTTCAAATCAGTTTTTAGAAGTTACTTTTTTTCTTTATGTCAACCTTTGTCAATATTATTTAATAATAGCATCTTTTATAAAATACATTAAATTTAATTGGGAAAATAACTAACCTATCAACGAATGTATAGATGACATTATTAAATTACCTGCATGCATAAAATGCCATGAGAAAACATCTACTGAACTGCCAACAAAACATCCTTGATCTTTACACATTGGCCAGAAATTTACAAATCTGTCAATATATCTTAATATTAAAATAAAACTGAAAATCAAAAGCATGACTATGGCTTTAAGAAACAAAAATTAAGGATTTATTTTTCCAAATTTGAGAAGCTTGAGCATGCATTTTTCTCAAGAAACAAAATCACATATTATTCTATATTTTCTATACTGCTTTCTTTTAAAGTTCCATATATTGCTGATATTCCATGGTTCAAGTTAATGCTCTGATTTCTTATTATACACTACCTGCATTTTACATCTGTGCACACAGTTCCTTGACCTTTAGCTTTAGGCCCTAATACCTGGCTCAGTATGCGCTCCTCTAATTAAATAACACGGTCACTATCAAGTGTAGTCTTTTGTATTAGAAAGACAGTAGGTGCCCATTACTGCCACTGACTACCCTGCATCGCCCAAATAAATAATAAATTCTCATTAAGAAATCTTACTAGCTATGAGTTGTTGTTTTTTTTAAAGTAAGGATTAGGTTTTGGAGTGCATCAAGGTAACAGCCATGCCTTGAATCCATGACCTGAAGCTGGAAAAAAAGGCAGTTGCTACCTCTGGGTAGATGTTAGTTTATTCTAGACATTCTGCCACTCACTCATTGCCAGACAAGTCAAGCGGAACTCCTAAGTGGAGTGAGGAATAGCAGGTGTGTGTGTGTGTGTGTGTGTGTGTGCACACGTGCCCGTGTGCTGAAATCTGGAAGAAAACTCACCTGTAATGAAGCAGAAGATTCCTCTATCAGCTTTTCTGCCCTCTCCCCATCTCCCTCAGCTTACAGTGCCACAACCAATGCCATTCAGTTATTTTGAATTTTTTGGATTCTTATATGAATTTTTTTTTTATTCTTATATGTGGTGATTAAGGAAAAAAATAAAAATGTTAACAACAACAACTCATGCTATTCCACAGGGTTCTTCCAGCCCTTGATGAAGTGTTTTTAGGGAAAGGGCTGACAGGCTAAAAGGAGGTTGAGAAATTCAGCCTTAGTCTGCCACCCTAATGGGATAAATCTTAGAATCCAACTTATGGGTAGAGTTCAGTTCACACTGGCCTTTTTCCATGAACAGTGAGAACTCCAGGTACATTCTAAATATAGGATGAATACTGAGGAGAAAACAGAAGAAGCTTAATTCTCTTGCTTATTTTGAACAACATAGCTCAGTTAAGGATTTTGATGAAGTTAGAAAATTGGTAACACTGATTCAAATGCCAATTTGCCCAAATTGCAGTTATTTAATTGCCTGAAAAATACATATATATATTTTCTTTCTATCTAATTGGAAAGTTGAGGAGAAATTATGTAAAGGAATTGGGTCCCTTCCTGTCAGCGTAATAACTCTGTGGAAGTAGGCTAGACTAGATATGATGTTGTGGGAGAAACTAACAAAATAAAGATGGAGTTTTAAAATGGACCAGATCTAGCTGGAGCTGAGGAGAGAAAAAAATAACCAAAAGTCCCCCAATCAGTCCCTCTGGGAGAAGCAGTTGGGTAGTGGTTCAGAATGCTGCCAATTGCTCTAGTTTTAAGCCCCTCCCTCTTGATTATGTGACTCAGAGTAGAGTTGCTATTAAGGGGTTGGAAAGAATACCAGAAGTCATGCTTTGCAGTCTTTCCTTACTTTTTTTTGGGGGGGGGGAGTGTTAAACAGAATTTTACATTGCTACATTACAATATAATGCAGCTTGGTTTGCTTGCCTGGATTGTTCAAGTTGATTAAAAATGGTGGTAGATAGTTCAAACTTTGCATGTGTATAAAAGATTATTAATGAACTGACCAATTGTATAGACATTTATGCTTTCAATCTGGATTCAGGCCTTAATTTTGGGACAGAATCAGCCATGGCTGATATATTACTTCTGGTAACAGAGTAGCAGAGGGAGGCCAACTTTGTTGATCCTGCTTGATCTTTCCAGGTTTTTGATATCATCTGCCAAGGGGTTCTGGACCATTTCCATGAATTAGGGGCACTGTATGGTGGTTCCACTTTAACTTGTAGAAGTGTTCTCATATAATAGTACTGAGTACCTCCTGCCAGGACTGACCGTGCATCATCTTACAGATACCTGTAGATGGGTGTTCTCTGTAGCGGTGCCTACACTTTCAAATGTATGCCTTCCTGAAATTCATGAGCTGAGTTGTCTCCTAATAGATCTTTTCAAAGAGCTTTCTTTTCACCAGGTCTTCCTCATGAATACCACTTGATGGTTTCGTTTGACTCTATCACTCCTTTTAATGAATATATTTCACACTTTTAAGATTTTCTGCTTTATTATTATATTTTAGTAATTGTTGTTATAAACAGCGTTGAGACGCAATTGTATGGGAGGCAGTCTAGAAATCTGAATGAATGAATGGGATCTGTAAAGAAAGGATCAGGGACCAATAGTTGGAGAACTAACTTTGCTGGCTGTGGATGGATCAATTTCTGAAGAAACTTGGGCTGACTATAGCAGTCCTTCTATGAGGGAATGGGGGATCAGTTGAGAATATCCTGAAGACTGACTAAAGCCAAATAATTCCTCAATGTTCTGGAGAATTTACCAGGTGATATGGCTGACCATTCTGTCAAAGCTCTAGTCTTGTTAGGGAATAGCAAAAGTTTTTTTTAAAAACCACTTACAATATTACTTTTGAACTCCCTTCTCTGGCTATGAAAAACTCAGAAAGCATCTTTTCTGAGAACTCCAAGCACTGAAACAAGTCAGTTTATGACAGTCAGGCAGTATAAATCTCACAGTAAATCAACAAAGCATATATTAAAGTAGCATTTGTTAGCAGCAAATATATTTATCTTCCTTCATTGCAGTGTATTTGCTATGGCATTTATATTATAAACTGCCTGTTTCCTTGGAGCTCCTCAGTTAATTGCTCCTCAGAACTTTCTGAGTGGTAAGTGGATTTGCACTTTGAGGACCATATCATTCACAACACCTCAAACTTTATGCCACAAATATGAAAGATCAGTTTCCAAGGTTGAAAAAATGCTTGAAGGTGCCTATTATGTTTAGTAAGAATTAGTAGAAAGAGGACTGTAGGGGCTTCAGGAAGCAGTTAATGCCTTGTTACTGGAGGCATTAAGTTGCACTCCTTGTCAACTACTGCCCAATTACAAATCTCCCTTTCTCAGGCAAGTGTGTATGTGCATGTGTTTGAGAGAGAGAGAGAGACCTATTATTTAGAGGAATGAACTATTAATTTCTCAGTGGTGTTTAATACCACTGACCACTGTGATCTTTCTGGAAAGATTCTGTGACTTGCAAATGTGAGTTGCGATGCCAAAATAACATTCCTACAGATCACTAACAGGCAACAGCATTGTGGGAGTTCTACTTGACTCCACAGTATCTGGATTGCAGGATCCCCCAGGATTCCATTCTATTCCTTTTGATGTTTAACACTTATAAGAAACCAGCACAAATTGTAATCTACAGATATGTGACATCGTGTCAGCACTACGCTGATGGCAGTTCTGTTTAAAACTGCTGGGAAGAACAGAGGCATGGATGATTAAATAATAAACCTATAACCCATAAACCTAAGCTGAATTCTGAGAAGACAGGGGCATTGTGGCTAGATGGATTTTAAGCAGATAAATTGCTTCTAAATGGTAAGAAGTGCTCATACTCAGGTTGATTGCCCAGTTACGATGCTGGACAGGATACATGCCTTAATAATCTGTGAACTGGATTATTGCAACAAATGCTATATGGGTCTATTATGGAAGCTTGTCTGGAAGTTTCAGCTTAGACAGAAAACAGTTTCCAGATAAAATAAGGCAGCTAAGTGGGATCAGTCCTCAAGGTACAGCATAACGTGACTTGAATTAAACATTAATATCTAGGAATAAGACCCTAAATGGAACATTAATGAGCATAACTATTTAATGTATCTTTAGAGAATGCACAAGAATACTCAGAGGTGTGTGTGATTTTTTTTCAGTAATGAAAACACACTAATAATACAAAATACACAGAACGCAACACTCTACTAATGTACCTGTAAGTCTTTATCACTGATGGTCCATCCTCTTCTGTCTTCTCCTACAAAACAGTTATTTGGAAACAATTAAAATTGATTTGAGGAACTATAAGATTGTCTCATTAGTTAATGAACTAAAGTAACAGAATTTCAGAAATGTTATGGCCACTTTATCTACACAGTACAGTATCTGATCATAAACAATATGTGTGTGTGTATACACACACACACACACTCCCCATACATGCATATATACTGCCATGAGAAGGACAATCATGGCAGAAAGGCCACCTGAAAAGCTTTTTCATAACCACAAGTGATAAAGGAATGTTAGCTGCACTGAACAAAAAGAACATGATCCAAAAGCTCTTTGGCGGCTTGTGTAGGAAGGGAATTCTGTTTTAATACTGCATCAAAAACTTCACTGCACCAGAATGTTAATGACAGAACAAAATATATTATCTAATGAACATTCAGTGTGTTTCAAGAGTTATTGAAAATATTTTGTAACATAAAAATATTACTGGTATATCAACTAATTATCATTTGGATGGTTCTAACATGGACAGATAGGACAACATCATAAATTATTTGCATCTTGATATAATATTCCTCTTCAATCCTGTATTTAAGTTTACCTTCCAAACAATCATCGTAACTATTTGCTAGCCATCTATGTATTTCTCATTAAAGCAGCTAGATAAATATTAGCTTTCAGCTGGTTGATGAATATGCAGTTTTCAAGTTACAAGAAACTCTTCACTGGCTACACTATAATATAAATATTTATCTAAAATATTTATATATTGGCTTTTGGTACACATATCTAGCAGCATCCAACAAAAGATGAATCCAGTTGAGATATAATGAATGAATAAAAATGTAAGAATCCAGTATAATAAGGAAACACCATGACTCAGGAATTAATGTTATAAAAACCCTGTTAGAGAAAGGCAGATGGAACAAATGGATTTTCAAGGATGTTTGAAAGCTTGTACAAAATGCTCTTTCATAGTGCCACAGAAAAAGTCCCACAAGCAGGAGAACACCAATAAGAAGGCCCTTTTATTTACCAACCAAATTGACTGGCACTCAAAAAGGGCCCCTATAGTTGATCTTTACAGAAGGATCATACAATTGAAGGCAGTCCTCTGTATATCCCGTTTAAGGCTTTAAAAGGAAGATCATACAATTGAAAGCAGTCTTCTGTATATCCCCAAACTGTTTAAATCTTTAAAAAGTTAACATAAGGGCTTTAAAAAGAACTCAGAAATGCTCTGATAATCATATACAGTTGGTGCAAAATTAGTTAACATGTCTGAACCACCTGGCTCCCATAAACCTTCACACAGATAAATAGTGCACTAGTATTTTCAAACCATTTTCAAAAGTGGGTCACATTCAGCCTATATGGTAATCAAATGTGAACGATCACTATTTCCCAGACCAGATGCCAAACCACAAGTAAGGAAGTCATAGCCTGCTGTTGCTCCCCAGCAACTGGTATCCAGAGGAATGTTGCCATTCATCCTGAAGATAACAGTAGCATATAGCTAACATGACTAATAAGCACTGAATTTGCATAATTTGTTTTAAGATAACAATTGGACTGAGTTTGCAAATTCCATCATTTTAAAAAATATGGTGTGTGAAGAAGTAGCTCCCTTTGCTGTCCTGCCTCTGCCACCATTCATCTTCATTAGTGATATTAGTACTAGCACTATAGAAGAAGATGAAAAAAAATGCCTTACCATTTTCCACCATGGGAAATAGCTATATTAATATAATTAAAGTTAAATCAATTCAAATAAAGTTCAGATTAAAATACCTTTTGTCCTACTGCACAACTTTTTTATGCAGTCCCTGGCACACCCCAGAGACATAGCCCTCAGCCCCAAGATGGCTGTTCCTTCATTCAGAAGCACAACTATATCAACAATCAGCATGACAATTTTAAATATCCAATTATTCATATCAAAGTACTAGAATAGCAAAGTTGACTTATCTTTTTAAATGGCATGCCTTAGTCAATTTTTCTCTGACTGTACTCCAATTGATTTATATTTTTCTGAAAATTATAAAAACAAAAGCCCTGCAATTTTTTTCTGGAACTATAAACGCAAGATGTGACCCAAAGTTATTATTTCTTTCTATTTTATACGTCATACTTCTATCATACATTTGCTGATTAATGGGGGGGGACAGTGTTTGCTTCCCCCCCCCAGCAGTTTTACATTGCTGAACAATGCCGTTTATCATAAAACATGGCTTTCCCAGCACAGCTATTCAGTTATCTCACATTTTATCACCTGCATTTTATTCTGTAACTCTCTTTGATCTTTGTTAGAATTAATTGTTTGACTTATAGACCAGTTCTCTAAACAATTAAGTTCATTCCTATCCAAAATGCTATCCTCTAAAGCATTTACAATCAAATTTTACTAGTTTATTTATGAGAATGTCATGTGGAACTGTGTCAAAAGCACTGCTAAATTTGATTATACTGAAGATTATATCTACTGCATTCCCTTTATCCACTAAACCACTTATCTTATAAAACTCAAGATTAGTCTGTACTGGCATGTATTTCTTAAATTTACAGTGCATATTAGCAACCATTTCTGAATCTTCCTCCAGACCCATTTTGCAAAGTAAAAAAAATCATGTTCTGTTAAAGCATTTTAACTGAGTAAAATATTATTGGCTCAAATAGGTTTCTTTATTATTGTTTTCTTTTATTTTCCAAAAACCACAAGAATTGATAACATGCCAAGAGTTCATGCTTGTAAAGTGGCTTAAATAACTGCAGTTAATGTATTACTATCCTGCATTAATTCTTTTTTTTTAATTGTCTTATTACATTATAGAATATAAATAATAGTCAAGTACAGTTGTATTTATACAATAAGAACTAGAAACTACTAATGCCATAATGATTAAAATAAATTAAACCTTTCAAAATAAAAAATATCAATGTTAAATATGATTTGTGATATGTAAATGGACAGAGAGTTGCTTAAATTGTATAGTTAATGCTGAAAATAACATTGGTAAGTTACAAAGTACATTGAATTATTTTGTAATATGAAAAAAAGTTTAGATACATGAGCTTAATACTACAGAATCCACTTTGTTTTTTATGACTATTACAAGAAAAAAGGGGGGGAGAAAAAGGATCTGCTTGGAAAAAGTAGATAGGTATTTAGTCTCTGACTTTCTCCTTCTCTGTATTCCAACTGATTTGCAGTGTTTTTAAACATTTAAATCCCCTTAAAAACCATACTATAAATGTCTGTGTTTGCCTTGCTGAATAATGTGTTGTATGTATGGAAGCCATTCTTGCTTGAATTGGGTTAAGCTTCTGGTATGGATATATGCTGTCAGTTTCACCATTGCTGCATATTCTCCAAGTTTTATCAGATATTGTCAAAATTATATCCTGCATCAATTCTTGAATGTAACAGATTGTTGAACAATTACGATGCATAAAAAATCTTTGGGCAAATTGATTTAAGGATATAGGACCATGTCTGATAACTATTTGTATTTTTAGAATTGCTTCTGCAATTATTCTTATGAAAGATATACACAAAAACATTTAGTTGGGATATATGGTCTATACAGCATACTCAGAGACAGCTCTGTGTATTGCATTCTGAACCCATCTCATCAGGTTTTTGAACATTTGTGCTGTTGATTCTATGCAAAGCATTGTTTAATGTCAACAGGACTCTGGCCTGCCAAACAGAGTAGCACAGTCAAGCTTAACTCCTAGTGACTTCATGGACATAGCTATGTAGCTTTCTTGGCAACAGAAAATAAATAGTTTCCCACTGCCTTCTTCTGGAAGTTTTCTTAACTTCCTAGGCTAGCCTACAAACCTGCAATTCCCTGGTGGTCTCCCATCCAAGTACTAAGGAGGTCCAAACCTGTTTTGATTTTCTGAGATCAGCCAGTTAAGTGCTGGACAGACTCTAA